GCCATATTTGTTGGAGGGGTATTTTTGTCCGCTGCGCTTGTTGTGATACCCCAACACAAGCACATGAACAAAGCCTTGAGAAAACCAAGAAATTAAAATCGAAAGAGCTCTCATATAATTACATAGCTCTCATATAAATACATACCAGGTGTAGATAGAATGACCCCATATTTTTTCAATTACAGTAAACTTAGCTCGATAGCTTTTTTTCCAAAAATAACTTTTTTAAACTATTCAGCTGTTTTGGCTATTTCAATCAGCTAAACCATTGTTTGGTAAACAACCTCTAGAAATAACTTAACTAGATTCAAAGAAAAAAATAATAAATAAAAGTGCCCATTCTTTTGGTCGGTTTTTTCCCTAGAGAAATCATATCATATTGTTTTTCTTAATGTAAATTTTATATCAAATATTTAAGTGTATAAATTTATTATATAAAATTATCCTCAAATCATATCATATTGTTTTTCTTAATGTAAATTTTAGTATCAAATATTTAAGTGTATAAATTTATTATATAAAATTATCCTCCGAGAGAAATCATATCATATTTTTTTTTCTTAATGTAAATTTTAGTATCAAATATTTAAGTGTATAAATTTATTGTATAAAACTATTATCATAAAATTGATAATTTGATGATAACTAGTTTGGTTTTTTTAGTTTATCCATTTGTCTAAAAAAGGAATAAATTACAAATAAAGGATGTATTTAGTTACTTAGGTCCATTGAAACTTTTAAAAATTGTTAAATGTAAATTTTAGTTACTTAGTTTTTCTTTTATATTTGTTTTTTCAATTGTAGTGGCAATTACAATTGACTCACATCTATTTTTTTTAACTAGTGATGACTTATTATTGCCTTTGAACGTGAACTTATTTACTTTATTAAAGGATATTTTATTTTATTATTATTTATATTTTTATTATATTTTAAGTATTTAGAATATTAATTATTTTTATTTCGTAAATAGTTATAAATTCAACACAAATAAGAATGATAAAATATGTTGATATTCTTATAAATAATTTTACATGCTAACAATTAATTAAAAATAGTGCGACCAGAGAACGCCTGGGGCCAGGAAAAGGCAACGATGAGCCTTTTTTTTTGGACGAGTCCGCGAGAAATATTGTTAAATGATTGAGTGTAAATATTATTGTAATCATAATTGTAAGTGGCAGACCAACTACTACAATTATAACCTAATTGCAATTTAAAAAAAAAAATAATGAGAAAGGGGCGGTGCCACATGCAACCGCTCCATCACATGTAAAAGAAAAAAATATATATATTAAAATGCAATTTGATTGGACAATTGGCCAAAATTTCTCCTATAAAATGGCCCTTCGGCTAGAATGGAAGAAAACACACAAAGAAGAAGAGAAAAGAGAGGAAAGAAAGGAAAAGAAAAAGGAAAGAAAAGATAGATATATGTCTAAATATCGGACATAAAAATATCAAAAGAGAAGAAACAAATGATATTTTTATTTGTTTTATGATATTTCTTTTATTTTTAAGTGCTCAATTCTCGACTCCGTTCCTGTTCGCCGGAGCTCGTAAATTTGGTGTGCTACAGATTTAGAGACGTTTGCCGTTGTATCTTTGGGGAAGTTACGTCTGAACCGTTAGCCGCCACACGGGGCGTATTCTTCTTGCGGAAAGAGTTATACTCGCCTTGGCTAAAATCTTTCCGTTTTTCAGTTGTAATTTATTTTTCAGTTCAATTGTAATTTTCTATTTTTAGATTATTTGTAAGAACTGAAAATACATATCAGTTCGTAGGATTCCCGTGTTTTATACCAAAATTATCCAACAAGAAAGAGATAGAGTATGGGGTGTGCTGGTGGTGGCGAGATACTCCGGTAGCGGCAGTGCATCGGTGAGCTCCAACGACGACAGGATAGCCTGGCGGCGGTGGGTCGTTGTGGGGTGAACCTTGTGTTGTGTGTGTGTTTCTTCGTACGTGTGCGCGTGTTGTATCCGTGTATGTGTGTGTATCCGTTTGTGTGCAGTGTGTGAGCGTGAGAGAGGTAGTATGTGCGTGTGACAACGGTGATGATTTGATTGTTAGTGGGGGTCACCTCCTGTCATTTTTCGAAATTTCACAATCATCCTTACAATTAGCATGAAACCAAGCTTAAGGGACGGACTTCCCATATTTATGACAGCCATCAAACCTCATGGGCACTTCAACGGTATCGTGCTAAATAACATGGAAGCATAAGCATAACCATCCAATTTACAGTATCCCTTTGGTATATATGACAAAGTACAATAGAAGTATGAATTCTTACAGCTTCAGAATACACTACACAGCCGGCCGAGTTTCAATCATCACAACCAATCAAGTAAACCAACAAAACAGGTCTAACATCGTATTACTCACATATTACAAATACAATCAAACGATCAAGAGGGGCGCATTGCTCTCCTTATTACACGATCTTTTCCTTCATAAGATATTTCACACGGCAGAAAAAAGCTTTCCTCAAGATGATGATTTGGGAGAAGGTGATTTGGTAAAAGGAATTTGTTCGGCACATGAGAGTTCTTCATGAGGTCCCGCCAACTCTCGACCGACCCCCATCAAGTCCAAATAATAGAGATAGTGTGATATGATATTGTTCATGGGATCAATATCACCCTGACCACAAACAATATCACCGTACATGACGTTCATAGTGGTTCCAAATCCCGGCACGCGTTTGGCCAATGTGTCGTTTTTGGTGGGTTTCCAGTTACCGACAAAGGCATCGTGGGCAGAAGGATACTTCTTATCTGAAGTTGTCATCCAAGACCAAATTGCAGCCTGGAATGCGAGAGTGGCATTTTGTTCGATGTATTCAGGATGGTTCAGCAAATCAGACTTAATGGCATGGCCGATTTTACCGTAGTTATAGTTCCTGAAACATTCACCCAAACATATTTGGAGTTTCTTATGCTTTTAGGAATTTTTATATATAGTATTAAGCAGTAAGATAAAGGAAACAAATAATTATTGTTAGCATCTAATCCCGTGTAAGCAAATAAACTTGTAAAGATTCACCAGGTTCAAGACATGATGATGTCTTTATAAGGCAAATCACTTGAAAGCTGATCAGAAGAACCTCTTTGTACACGCTTTGCATAGTTCTCCATAGTTTAATTACAATGATGAACTCGCATTTTCTTTCGAACACATGTATCTCCTCAACACTCTTTTGCAAGACAAAACCACATAGTTTAGTTCTCCATTGTTTGTTATTTTGAAAGGTAATTGGACTTTCATCTTCTTCTTCTCCTTTTTTTTTTTTTTTT